CGGGGGATGCCATGTCCCCACCCCGCTGTCCCCAGCCCCGTGGTGGCCCTGGCAGGCTGGTGTCCCCTGTCACCCACAGGTGCCCAGACCACCCAGCTCCTTGTGCAGCCCCCCTGGAGGCCGGCAGTGCTGTGGGACCGGGTGACACTGACCTGCCAGGGCTCAGGGACCGCCAGTGCCACCACCTGGTACAAGGACGGGAAGCGATGGGGACAGCAGGGAGGAGACCAAGTCACTGTCACCGAGAGTGGCACCTACACGTGTCACAGACCTGGCACCGGGCTCAGCTCCCCTGTGACTGTCTCAAATGGTGAGAGGGGTTTGCGTGTCCCCAGCCTGGCACCGCGGGGAACCCGAGGGTTTGGGTGGGCTACACTCCACAGGTCACCCCATGGTGTGCCAGAGCCTGTCCCCTGCTCTGGGGACATCTCAGAGCATCCCAGTGAGGGTGACCCCTTGCTGAAATTGGGGACCCCTGGTGCGCTGGGGGGTCCCGATGGGGTGTGACAGGACCCCTCTGTCCCCCAGACTGGCTGGTGCTGCAGGTGCCGGCGCGGGCGCTGATGGCGGGAGACACGCTGACACTGCGCTGCCGGGGCTGGAGAAACTACATGGTGACCTGGGTGTCCTTCTACCATGAGAAGCAGAAACTGAGGTGGTTCCGTGAGCAGACCGATCTGTTCCTGTCACCTCTGCAGCTGCAGCACAGTGGCCGCTACGGATGCAGGAGTTGGGTAAAATCATTTGGGTGGAAGGAGTCACTGCCAGTGACAGTGACAGTGCAGGGTGAGCCCCCCACAGCCGCCATCCCGACACCCCCGCAGCCCCTCCCCAGGGACTCGGGCTCACAAATCCCCCTCCCCTCTCCTCCCCAGAGCTCTTCTCTGTGCCAGTGCTGGAGGGTCCCCCTGAGCCCACCGAGGGGTCCCCCCTGGCTCTCAGCTGTCTCAGCACCCCCAGCCCCCTGCGGCCCCGAGCCCCCCTCCTGCACGTGTTCTACCGGGACGGGCGGGTGATGTGGGGCCCGCAGGGGTCCCCGCAGCTGCTGCTGCCCAAAGTGGGGGTCTCCCACTCGGGGAATTACAGCTGCGAGGTGCGCTCCGAGGGGGGGGCCGTGCGGAAGAGCAGCGCCCGGCTCCGCGTCACGGTGCGCAGTGAGTGCGGGGATGGGCACGGGGAGCCCCCAGGGCCTCCCTGGGTCCCTGTCTGGGGACCCCCATCAGCATCTGGGACCCCCAGCCCTGCCTGACACATTTCCCGGGTTCCCCCCTCCTTCCCCAGCTCCTTCCTCCCATCCCTTCCCCGATCTCCCCATCCTTTCCAGGGTCCCGCCCCGGGTCCCCCAACCCTGTCTGGGGACCCCCAGCCCTCCCTGACACCATTGCCAGCTCTCCCCATCACTGCCCGGGTCCCTCCCTGGCTCGTTCCATCCTTCCCCGGGTCCCCCATCCATGTCCCGGGCCCCCCATCCCTTCTCTGATCCCACCCTGGGTCCCTCCATCCCTTCCCAGCTCCCCCAGCCTTGCCTGGGGACCCCCATCCTTCCCCGACACCTTTTGTGTTTCCCCCCATTACTACCCCAGCTCCCTCCCAGATGCCCCATTGCTGGCTCGTGTTTCCCCATCTCCTCCCTGGGTCCCCTCACCCCTTCCTGCTCTCACCCCTCTCCCTCTCCCACCTCGGGGTTCCTTTCCAAGCCCCCCCATCTCTGCCCCCCTCTCCCTCCCTGGGGTCCCCCTGCCCCTCTCCCCTGGGTCCCTCACTGTCGCCTGGTGTCCCCCTCCCGCAGGGGTCCCGCCCTCGGGGGTGTCCCTGTTGGCGCAGCCCCCCGGGGCACAGGTGGCACTTGGGGACCGCCTGGTGCTGAGCTGCGTGGTGGACAAGGGGACAGGTCCCCTGTCCTTCTCCTGGCACCGGGAGGGCTCGGGGGCACCGCTGGGCACCGGGCCCCGCCTGGAGCTG